AGGTTTTCTGTGCCCAGTACCAACTTTGTTGTTTCTGCCGCTTTGCACCAGATTGCAAGTTTTCCTACACTTAGTAGCACTACCGTGATTTTTCCGCGCTAGGCGCGGGTTGCATGTTTTTCCGCCCTTGATGCCCATCCCTGCTTTACATCAGGTGCAGGTTTTCTCGCGTTTGTCTTTTGTTGCATCTTTTTCGTGCCTGCCAAAAATTTGCGAGCTTTCTCGCGCTTAGCATCCATTGCATGTCCTCTCGCATATTGCACGGATAGCTTTACATCGACTTTCTTTGTATATCTCTGGTTGCGATCCTGATTGGTCCAACTTGTAATGTGTGACTCATAGGTGGCTTCAAGAAACACCACTCAAAGTAATATTCTTTTATGATGCTTTTATGCAGATCTACCGTACTCTGGATAAAGGAAAAACCATGCACCCCGGTGACGAAGAAGAACAGGAAGCCAACGAAATGAAACCGGACTCAAAATTGAAAGAGAAAAAGGTTAGGCCTATTTTATGGTATCCTCGTCTCAAAACACTAGTGGCCGATTTTGAATCTTAAATACTAATGGCCGAATTTGGATTCAGGATTTTGGAGGCTAGTGGCCGATTTTGGAGTTTGGAGGCTAGTGGCCGATTTAGGATTTTAGACACTGGTGGCCGATTTTGGATTATGGACGCCAGTGTCCAATTTTGAATTTTAAAAACTAGTGGCCGATTTTGGATTTTGGATATTCACACGTGTGATTAGTCAATAAAGCTAAAGCCACCTTATAAACTGGAAAAAAAATGTACAACGTAAATTCGTTCACGAATCGTTTATTTCCGTTTTCTTTCGACTCAGTTTGCTATTGTCTGCCTTGCGCAAAACGCAATGGATTTAAGTATAAATCAAACAAGAGGCCGGCCGCTCGTTCGATTTGCTCTCTCACTTATTGCGGTCAGCAGATATCTACCGGAGAATTACTGCTGTTCACAGCCAATATCGTGTAATTTCCTTGACTTTTCATTGGCTCGTTGTGTTATTTGCTTTTGTTTAGAGTGGCCTTTTTGATAGCTTTGCTTTTGATCTACAACACTTAATCGAAAAGTGCTTTATCGCCCATTACAGTTTTGATAACTAAAGCGATCATTTTTTTTCTGCTCTTTGTGCAGGTGGGAAGGAAAGTAAGTTCTCAGAGAATGTGGGATGTACTACGAAGGGCTGTTATGTCCGGATCATACAAAGGAGACATTTTACCGTCTGATTCTGCCATGTACTGGGAGTCAATCTTCACACCTGATGTCTCTAGCGCAGCGAGTAGCCCCCTTAAATCACCAGGGTTCACATACTTCTCAGACCCAGGCCCCCCCGATGAACCACTTGACGGGAGCAGTGAAGAGGAAGGCGCATCATGGAAAGGAAGGGAGGAAGCTACCATTGATTCACCTGCGGACGAATCTGATTTCAATTCATCCGAAAATGAGCAAGAAGTTGACGAGAGACGCAAGGATAGTTCCCAATCCCCTCCGACCAGGCATGTGCAACTCTCCCCAGCTCCTGAAGAGTACTATCGCATAGTTCCTATTGCACCTTTTACCACCCCTTCTAAGGACAGAAGAGAATCAACTGAACGGTCATATTCCTGGAAACTACCTCAAACCTACACGTCACGTGATCATGATGTAGTACAGACTCTTTCCCAGGCCTACAAGGAGCCTCGAGTAGTTCCTTTTACCGCCGTTTCTCAATTCGAACCGGGAGCCCTGCCCGGTAAATCCGTTTCCTTTCAATTTCCTCCGTCTGAAGACGGAAGTGAAGTAAAAGACTGTAACTCTAGGCCTTCTCAGCAGAAAAAATTAGGTGATACGAAGAAATTTGCACATAATGAGGTGAAAAAAAGTGGGGCACTCCGACGTAGACTGAGATTGTCCCCTAGAAAAGAGCCCGATGGTGAGCCCGCCGAAAAAATGGTCAGTGCGGTGAGAGGGAAATCTAAGCTTCTACTCACAAAGTCACGGTCCAAGTCTTTCCCGAAGAGTGACAAAATAACTTCCCAGCGAAAAGAAATAGAACTTTACGAAGATTTATCGATTGAAACAGCTGAGGATGAGCCTCTTGTGGGGGTTTCTTCAAGATTATCAGAAGACGTTACCGAACAGCTGGAATTTGAACTCGATCCTTTACCGAGTCGACGAATGAACTTCCCGTCGATCTCAGTCGAAGATTACCGAACTCCGCCGATATCGACATTTAGCGATTTTTATTCAATTACCCGATCACAATCGGATCCAAACGTCGATGTCGAACGATTCCGAAGATTAGAGGGATCATCCTCGGAATACCGACGAGTTCGTTCGATGTTGGATGTACACGACGATAGAACTTCACGTGATGAAGAAAAAAATTAAACGGTTGACAGTTACCGCATAAATGGAATTTTTATCAAAGTAATATGGTGGAGTTACTCTTCAATCTACGCGGGTTTTTGCGATAAACAAATGCTAGTGCCCGTTGACAAAGAATACTTATTTAAAGTGCAAAGTTATTAGAGTCTTAGAATTAAGTTCAACGCAACGTTAATTCGCACGAGGCTTCAGAAAAAAGCCTTCATTTTCGGCAGATCTTAAAAGAATAGCCAGGAACTATATTTTTGAAGAGAGATCGACATGCAATTTAAAGTAGAATATATTCCATTTTCCAAAGCTTTTGTCTTTGCAGTATACAACAGGAAAATGGAACGCACCTAAGAAAGAATCGATACGTTCAAAACGGTTTTCTTGATGTGCTTCCTGAAAATAAATATATATATAAAAATATTTTCACTTTCTGGAATAAATAATTGGAATTTTAAAATTCAATTTATGCGAGTGAATTTCGCCCGTAGATTACAGATATATAACTTGTGAAATATAACATCATTCATAGGGACAGCAGAGGCTGATTTTTCCAGGATCAGTGGAGAATGTAAGGTTTTGTTCCTGTCAATAAAAAGCCCCGTAACTCTCTCGATTTCGAGAAAAAATGTTTCATATCACCTGTAGTAGGACAGACGTATAGATGACGTCAGCGTTGATAACAGTTTGTTTCGTCATCATGCCGCGGGTCTGTTCAATAAAAGATCACAGAAGACCTCAGAATGTGCTAAGAAAATTAGTGACACACTCGGCTGCGCCTCGTATGCCACGTTTTTTGCTCGTATTGACCATTTTACATCATCTGTGATCAGGGGCGTAGCCAGGATTTTTCAAAGGGGGGTGGGTGGTTAGTCACATGGTGTCAAACGTAGGGTACTCATACTCACCAGATTGTCATATCGA